ACACATGTTAGCAGCTACTGGAATTGTGTTTGCACAACAGTGGAAAAACAGAGAGATGTAAATGAATAAATATTACAATGTGCAGGAATAAATAAATTGACAATTAAAATTTAAAAAAAAGAAAGTTTTGCATACTCACCGTAATTACCAACCTTATCATTTAGGACAGAAGAGATTTAGACCAATACAACCAACTTCGTTGTATTTAAGTACAATGACAATAAAGATTATATTTATACTTAAGAGCAAGAGGCTCTAATACTTTAGTAATGAACACATTGGCCATTTCTTTACTAGAAGTATTTTATTTATTTATTGCTCCTTTAATCCCCATGGCTGGCTAATGACCAGGACTTAAGTTCTGCAAATGTGTATAAAAGCTGTTACAGCAATTTGTTCATTATGGAAGATCCAATAGAAACAGGACCAAAATTACTTGAGCAAATAGAAGAGCATGGAGAAGTAGCAGGACTGAAAATCAATAAGGACAGAACAAAAATCTTAGTGAAAGAACGAAACAGAAAAACAGAAAAAATGGGGAAATTAGATATTCAAATGGTGAAGAAAGTGAAATATTTGGGTATGCAGCCGACTTCGAGGTGTGCAAACATTAAGGAAGAAAACTATTACAAATTAAGAAACCAAATGGAAATAGATGTAGAGAAATGGGAAAAAATTACAGCTATCATTAATGGGAAGAGTAGCTGTAATTAAGATGAACATATTACCAAGAATGCTATTTCTATTCCAAACCATACCAATAAAGCTTGAGAAAAAATTACTTTGAAATATTAAATAAAATAATAACCTATATAGTTTATTATAATATAGTTTAATATAATAATATATAGTTTAATATAAACTATATATTGTTCCTTTAATCCCCATGGCTTGCTAATGACCATGACTTAGTTTTGCAAATGTGAATAAAAGCTGCTACAACAATTTGTGCATTGGGGGGCTCTCAATTTGTGATTTAATCCGGAGAACACACCTCTCTGTTATGCATTTAATAAAGGTTGCAATTTATACAACATTTGTAGCGCAGGGTTGAAATGTTGGGTCCTTGGTGCCCTCCAAGCTTGGTGGTTTTCTTGCAAATGTCTCATGGCCCAACTAGGTAACGTTATCAGTGCTAGAAGGGAGGGATTTGCAGAGGAAGAAAAGGAGGACTGGGAGTTCCTTGGTGCCTTCTGAGCTTGGCTATACGCTTGCAGGCGTTTTATTACCCAACTAGGTAACATCATCAGTGTTGCAAGAAAGCATCTGCAAGAAAACCAAACGCCACACAGATTGCAATTTCCCAGCTTGTATGATGAATCGGGAAAATTAAATTCATGGTTAGGCCGACCCAAAACACCTCTGCAATTTCAATCTTTCTCAACCCTGCAACTTTGAAGATGGACTTTTTAAGAATTTTGCAACTTTTTAAGAATTCTGGGAGTGGAAGTCCTTCCCCTGCCTGCCCCCCCATCTTAGGTTACCAAGTTTGAGAAACGCCGAAGGAGATCTTGGGGACAGGCTAGAGAAGGGAGTGAAGATTGCAAAGGTATTTGCAAGAAGAGAGAGATCTATCAGCTACCCCATCTGCATTTTAGCCCAGCAGGCAGTCTGGAATATATCCTAAAACTGGGTCTCTTAAATTCCCGGTCAGAAAGGCCATTTTAGCAGCATTTTCTGCAAACAGGCAAGACTGCAGTGGTTCCCAAACTTGGCAACTTTAAGACTTGTGGAGTTCAACTCCCAGAATTCTCCAGCCAGAGCTGGCTGGAGAATTCTGGGAGTTGAACTCCACAAGTCTTAAAGTTGCCAAGTTTGGGAACCACTGGGCAAGAGTGACGGAAAAGGAGAAATCCACCTCCTTCCCCACCCCCCAAGCCTTTTTCTAGCACAAACAGGAAGTTCGATTTCTCTTTATTTCTCTTTGCAAAACCGTAGTTTTGTGCTCATTGGAGGAAACCGTTTCCGTTTTACAACTGGGGGAGGAAGCATGTTCAAATGATTCATTTACTTTTAATGTATACTTTCCAAACCGGATCGAGGATCGGCCCATCCCTCGCTCCTTCCTGCCCTCCCCCCCCCAAAAAAGGCAACACACAATTCTCAGAGTCATCAATTCCAGCTGATGTTGAAATCTTCCTCCAATATTGGGAATTGAAACCCAAGCATAAATTGCAGGGAATATTTGATTTCGTCTCTCCGCAGGAAGGCCAGAGCAGAACTGCGGCTGTTTTGAATCAAGTCTTTTGGTGTGTGTGTCTCTGTATGTGTGTCTCTGTGTGTGTATGTGTGTGTATGTGTGTGTTCAGCACAGAGAGTCCCCCCCCCCTCCATTTCAACTAGAATTTTCCCAAAGTTTTTCCAAGTCAATTCCGCTTAAAGGTTTCCATGAACAAATCACAGGTATTTCCTGTCCCTTGAAAAGCAAATCATTCAAAGTCAATTCTTCTGCTTTCTCTCTTTCTGCCCCACAAGAATTCAAAGTGTGACTCTCCCACCCCAAGAAAAATCCTGCCTCCTTCACCCCCTTTTTGCAGGTTGGGTCAACGCTGAATTGGGAGTTTTTTGGGGAAGGGTTAAGTACCAATCGTATTCTTCCATTGGTTACAACATTGAGAGAAGCACATGGCTGGGGAATTCAAGAGGCGTGACCCGTCAAAACCGCGGTAGACAAAAGCGCGCTCGACGAAAGCGCGTACGTGACATCATCACAGTGCAACGAAAACATCG